ATATGGGTTGTTGGTGGGACAACTGAGACTTGTTTATCACATTTCAATATAAACCAAACTAATCGAAACGAACAGAAAAAAACACAAAATAAAGCAAAACAAAACAAAAGCACAAAACAAAATAAAACAAAGTAAAACAAAACACAACAAAACAAGACAATAAAAATCCGAAAGCAATCAACCAACCAAACAACGGAACAGCCTAGATCACAAGTGTTTCTTCTCCCAACAAGAGACCAGTCATTTTGTTAAATATATTTTTTTTTACCCTGCACATTTCTATCAACTGACGCTTTTGTGATTAGTAGAAACAAAAACAACTACAAAATGTGCAGCACTTTGGATTTTAAAATTAACTGTTAGTATTAGTGTAGACACCCGAGAGAGATGTGTTATCTATCTATCTATCTATCTATCTATCTATCTATCTATCTATCGATCTATCTATCTATCTATCTATCTATCTATCTATCTATCTATCTATCTATCTATCTATCTATCTGCAAGCAACCAGTTATTTTTACTCTTCCTGTTTTCTTCTAGAGCTTTCACAATTTCTAACGCACCATAATTTTCTCCGCCGAAAGCCCGTTTAGTTTGTTGAAAGTTCAGTCCCATACACACGAAACAGTCTTGGTTCAATAAGCCACGATAGACTCATTATAAGTTTAAGCATGTGGAAGGAATGTAGTTAGAACACTCACTAAATGTCAGAGATTTTTTAAAACTACTGCCAGGCCTATTAGGGCATCTGAAACACATTCTGTGTACAGAGATAACCGAGTCATTCACGTATGAGCGGGTCCTCTTTTTTTTTTTCTTTTTTTGTTAGACACCGGGTATTGCCACTCTTCTAAGTTCTTTTGACTTCACTACTTTAAGAAAACAATTCTGTGTATTTCGGTGCGTGATTTCAGAATTGAGATTTGGGTTTGTTTTGGGGGGTTTTCTTTTTGCTTTTTTTGTTTTTGTTTTTGTTGTTCTTTTAGGTCGGTTTTTTTTGTGTGTTTTTTTTGGGTGCAATCCAATCTGTCATCATTATCGAGTTGTTCTGTTCTGTACCAATTTATGTCTGTGACTGTGTGATGTCATCAATGAGTACAAAGGTGTCTGTGTAAGTTTTGTGGGATTGTCTTTACTCAAGGATGTACAGGAGAGAGAGACAGAGAGACAGAGAGATAGAGAGAGAGACAGAGAGAGAGAGACAGAGAGAGAGAGACAGAGAGAGAGAGACAGAGAGAGAGAGGATTACTATAGGAGCTGTGCGCTGCATATGTTCTTTGTACTATTGTACACTGCATTGAGCACCTCTTTGTGGAAATGGGCTGTATAAATGTACATTATCATTTTTTAATTATTTTTTTCATGTTTATAAAACAAAATTAAAAATATTATTTATTATTATTCTTCTTTCCTCCTCAGGCTTACGGAATCGTGTCGTTCCTCTTTGTCGTTGCCTCCATTGCCGGGTTCTGTCTGGAAACCATTCCGGAGCTGAGGCCCAAGGTTTGTTCTTCTGTTTCTCTACCAGTTTTACGCCCTTTTCTCGACCTAAATACAGTCGAACCAGCCCTAACGGCCACAGGTCTAAGACAATTACCTGTATAAACACCCACCTCCCAGGTCCAATTTTCATCATCATCATCATCATCATCATCATCATCATCATCATCATCATCATCATCATTGCCTTTCTCACCCTGGATCGGTATATAATAGGCCACGAACAAACACTTTCCACCTTTCCCTATCCTGGGCTAGTCGCTTGATGTCATTCCATGTTGCGGGGTCGGGGGTTCCAGCCGTGGGCCCGACCTTGTGTCTTTGTCTAGACGGTCAGAGATAGTATAAGAACGTATACGCCTTTGTGAAAGGCATTTTACACGAATGTTCCTTACTTCACCCAGGTGGAAATGGATACCTGGCCATAGACAGCGAAAGATCTTGTCAGTATGTTAGTGTTAGTGTTTTAGCGCATATAAATGGCTGCTTGCACTGTATGCTTCCAAGGAAGTTAAGTTTGCTTCAAAATGCTCTCAGGTCTGCTGGGATAATAGTATAGATTGTGAAGCGCTTAGAGCTTGCTGTTGTGCGGGGATTTGCGCTATACAAATGCTATCGATTATTATTTTTCCCACTTTTTAAGTCCCACTTACGTTTTTATATTATTATAATGAGAGTGTCCCAGACGTCCTCCTGTCTAAAATAACCGCTGGTCGTATTGGACATTGTATGTCTTTGGAAAGCAGGCCAAATACTGTTGCGTTGTGAGAGGGCCTATTTTTCCCAGGACCGAACTTTGTATTGAAATAGCAGCACCCTTCCAATGGGGATTTACGTTTTATATACGGATTGCTTGTCCACGTTAGTAGGCAGCCAATTTTGCCATCCAATGTTTTTCAGCACCACAAAACCCTATAACTCCAATTCCAGTTAACCTACTACTTAATTAATAGTAATAAAAAAACACAAAGCGGAGTAGAAATGAACGCTCCATGCAATAAACGTATAGTCTGGTAATAGATACGATGAACTGGCTGAGGTATGGGACTTTTTCTTATAACAGTAAACAGCCGAGCGATGTCATGACCCAGCTGAACTGGCGTGCCGTAAACTTACAGTTCACGGGAGAGGAGACTATTAATCGCTACCCTAGAATTACAAACTTCTATCTGCTCAGTACTGAGTTTTGATAAATTTGACGTCGAAAATTGTTAGCTTTACAATATGCCAAGCTTTTTTCGAATGCAGTTCTTTAAATATCCTGATAACGGCTCCGAATAGTTTAACGATTTTGATGCAGCAAAAAGAGCATTAAATCTTAATTTCTGACCTCATGGTCTTAGTAACTCAAAATGGCCAACAATTTCAGATAGAATTTTGTAATCCTAAGGTACCGATTTGTGAGATATCGTGATGAAATCAGGCTCTCGTCAAAATAATGAAATCGAAAATAACGGACCTTTTTCCGCCTGTTTAGCAATTTTCAAAATCAGATTATAATGTATGATTACTTTTTTTTAGCTCAACAATTTTTATATCCTTTCAAAAACATTCCTGCTTGAATGTTATTTTTTTTAAAGTTTAATAAAAGACACAAAATGTTAATTCGCTGTTTCCAAGAGCACTCTAACTCTGGAAATCACCTAACATAGAAAGCCGTTTTCTCTCTAATTTTCCCCCTGAGACTAGGCGCCCCCCCCCCTTTCCACCTACATTTACAAACATTTTGACTTCTGTTCTTGATGGATGGATACTTTTTCATCCAAAAGCAAGGTCGATGAACGGGCTTAAAAAAGATACTAATAACCTCATTAGCCTCAAATTTATTGACAAGCGCCTGTTTCCACCGCATCGAGACACATTTAAATCACCCGGCCGGTGCGGGGGTGTAGAGGTATGTGGTGTCGTCAGTGGTCTAATGGTTAGACTCTTGAACTCGCTACCGTAAAGGTCGGGGGTTCGAATCCCTAGGAAAGGCACTTTTACACGAATTTTCTTCTCTTCACCCCGGTGGGAAAGGATACCCGGCTACAGACAGCGAAAGATCTTGTCAGTTTGCTAGTGTTTGAGGGCGTGCAATCCGCAGTTTGCACTGCATGTTTCGCGGGAAGCCGAGAATGTTCGTAAGTGTTCTAGGGTGTGCTGGGTAAATACAAGTTGTGAAGTGCATAGTTCAGGCTGTGGAGCATGGATATGCGTTATATAAATGCAGTTATTAGTATTATTGTTAGAGTCAGCTGTGCATGTTTTAAAATTCTACTGTAACAGAAACAGTATTAAGGATGCATGTTGTTCTATGTCTTAGAAAGCAGAAACTTGTTAGTAGAAACTTGTTACATGATCTGATTTCTTCACAAGACAGATCTATTGACAATTTGGATATTATCCCACCATCATTCCCTCCCCCGGCACCTCTCCCTAACCCCAGTTAGTATATGGGTTGTTGGTGGGACAACTGAGACTTGTTTATCACATTTCCTCCCACCAATTGGTCGCTTTTAAGGATAAGCGGGATAACCCAGATTTCATGGGTTTCCGGAAATTTTGACCTACACCAAAAGTGGGCATTCCCCTACCTGTAGTAGAAGTTTGGTTTCATTGGTGTGCATATTTGTTTGGTTATAGAAGAAACTCTCCTTGTCTTTTAAAGAAACTGATCAGGGGGCAAAAATTTTACCTTCTATTTTCTCAAAACAGCATTTTTCGGAATAGCCCTCTTGTGCTTAAAAGCGACCAATCAGCATAGTATATGGTAGCTGGCAGAACAGCTTACAATATTGCTAACCCAATTTCCCCACCCCAACCTGTACACCAGTGGTTGAAGAGCTGCCGTTGATTGAACATGCCCGACTTGCGTGTTCAGAGTTATAAAGACTTTGTCACACAAAAGCTGCTTCCATAAAAAGAAAGATGTTTCTTACTCAGTATCAGAATTTAAAACTTTTGCCTCTCGTCAGTTACCCGAGATATACATGTAGCTAAATTTAAACACATACCTCCCCGCCACTTACATGTAATTAAGTTACAGTTTTGAAAGACGTGTTAAGTCCATACAGTTATCCATTTTACACATACGTCTTAGGGATATCACTGTAATGCCATGTTTACACTATACAAATGAGCACTATGCAAATGACCATAGTCAATTGCTGCCATGATCCATATGGTATGCAAATGAGCACTATGCAAATAACCATTGACCATAGTCAATTGCTACCTTGATCCCTCTATTATGCAAATGGTCATTGACCGTAGTCAATTGCTGCCATGATCCATATGGTATGTAAATGAGCACTATGCAAATAACCATTGACCATAATCAATAGCTGCCTTGATCCCTCTGTTATGCAAATGAGCACTATGCAAATAATCATTGACCGTAGTCAGTTGCGCTCTTTTCCCCAGGTGTCCTACAACATATCCAGCGCCTCCTGTAACGGCGAGACGAAGACGATCCAGGTGGTCATGGCCTCTAACACGGCCCTCAACGTCCTGGACTTTATCTGCACCGTGTTCTTCACGCTAGAGCTCGTGCTTCGCTTCGTGGTGAGTCCCGAGAAACTGCGCTTTGTCCGGAACCCGATGAACATCATAGACCTTCTGGCTCTGGTCCCTCTCTACGTTCAAGTTATATTTGAACAATCCGAGCTCCAGGCATGCTACATCAACGAGCGGTTCGTCATCGAGATCATGTTCATTCTCCGCATCTTTCGAATGTTCCGGATCTTCCATCTGGTGAAGCACTACCAGGCCCTGAAAGTTCTTGTCTACGCGCTGATGGCCAGTCTCCAGGAACTGCTCATGCTTTTCATCTTCCTCCTCATCGGAATGCTCATCTTCTCCACCATGATTTACTACGCCGAGAGAAACGACAGCGCCAGACCTGACTCTGAGTTCAATACGATTCCCATAGGGTTCTGGTGGGCTATCATCACCATGACGACGGTGGGCTATGGAGACGTGACGCCCTCCACGCCGGTGGGTTACATTGTGGGCTCCGCTTGTTCCATCTGTGGCGTCCTGCTGCTGGCTCTCACCATCCCCGTCATCTCCAACAACTTTACCTTGTTCTACGAGCACGTCCGCTCTCGCTCCACCTCTCCTCGGAAAAAGGAGGAGGTGGAGGAGGAGGGCGAGGAGGAGGTTGCGGGGGACGGGAGCGAGGCGAGTCGGGATCATCCCACTGACTACGGCGCTCTCAAAATGCACAACTTGTCCACGTCCTCGGGCGCTGCCGCTAACGGCTTCTCTAGCACCGTCATGAACGGTCGCGCCAAAATCAAGGACGCGCAGGGAGAGGCACCCAGCATAAAACCGAAATACTACGTGCCCATAGCCAAGTTCAGTGACACGTCATCAATGACGGACATCATCTTCCAGGAACCCACCGATGACCTCATTGCCATCAAAGCAGCCACACCTAAGATACATAGGGAAAGACTCCGGTTCAAAGATTTTGATTCGTCCCCAGAGAGCAGTCCTCAAAACTTATAAAGACGGAAAAGCCCACACCAATGTCGCTATCATCAGCCTGAGTTATGCCATTTTTTTCTCGACTACTGTTTACTGCACACCTTCCGAAAGCCCAGCAGAAACATCACAAGACAGTCGCTGTAGTGGAACCCACAGGGAGCATGAGGCATGGGTAGGCCACGGGAAACATGGTGGAGATGTGTGGAAAGGGACATGAGAGAGATGAAGCTCACTTGGAACGAGCTAGGAAGGATGGCCCTGGACAGAGATAAATGGAAGGAGCTTGTACGTGGCCTTTACCCTGCCAGGGGTGAGAGGCATTGATGATGATGATGATGATGATGATGATGATGATGATGATGATGATGATGATGATGATGATGATGATGATGATGATGATGAGGATGAGGATGAGGATG